CAGCTCTGTTGTAGATTGCAGGCATGACTTGAATATATGTCCTTCTTGCTTAAGTGATTGCATTAGAAAGGTGAATCTTCTGGCACCTTTCCACTGCAGTGGACCACACCAGCCATGGTAAAGGAGTGTTTGTGCCAGCACTGGCATGGGGCCATTTGCTGCCAGCCTGAAGGCCATAGCAGAGGTTTGGAGAAGTGGCAACCAAAACACTGCTTCCCCACCTGTATCTCCAGGGACGCGGCTGCTGCAGGATGAGCCACCAAGCCAAAGAACCTGCAGAGGCTGAATTTGCAGATGGTGTGAGTGAAAAGCTCTGTTTTGCTTAGCAGGATCTGCAACGGCCCCAGTGAATGTCCTCCTGGGGCTGGCCTGGCACAGCAGGACTTCACAGTGACCTTTCCTAACACTGCTCGTGTGTTGCCGCTTGACAGACTGACCCCAGTGTAACACAAGATGGGATGCAGAGAGGCTGGCAAAGGCACTTACTGCAGCAGTGTTTTGGATAGCTTAACATGGAACGCAAGGCATTTCTAAAATGGAAAACAAAACTTCTGCTAGGTATTCTCATATGCATTTTTGAATGAAGACTTAGAACTTGAATTGATTCAAGGGATTCTGCCATCAGGGCTTTTTCTCTGCCTTTTCAGACCAAAATGGCATCCCATGCACACAACAGCTGCTTGCACCGTGGGGGCACAAAGCAACACAGAAAAAACCCAACAACACAGTAGCAGCAGATGGGCAGATCTGAACGGAAAAGAAAACCCTCAGCTGTTCCATTCCTGATGAGAATTTGGGAGCGTTACATAAGGAGGAAATGAGGAGAAATAAAATTGCAAGCTCAAGAGAAGATAAAATCTGATTAAAACGCTGACTAATATAATTGAAGAGCGTTAGTCAGGCTTTCTTGTGGAAAGGGAAAAATGTCTGCTGTTGTGCTGCTATAGAAACGGTGTGGAGTATGCGGGTAGGTGAGGGCATGGAGTGTGTCCCTCCCTTCCCACTTCTCTGTGCTGGAATGAAGATCCTATCTCACTGCAGGCCCTCCTGGCCAGACAGTCGCTTCCACTGCACAGAGGAATTCTGTTCCTGTTTATGCAGTTTCTTTTAATATCTCCTCTTCCTCCTTCCTTTGTTCTTCTGGAAGGTGATGTGACAGTGCTGTACCAGGGCAGGAGGTGAACCCTGTTCTCCCTTCACTTTCCACAGGGGTTGGTGACTTTGCTCTGTATTTTGTGAGCCTGGAACATAGGTACTGTGCCACAAACAAGTTTTCTTGTATTTACTCCTATAAAACCAAAGGACTCGTAGTGCTTTGAAAAGTAAATCCTTCTCTGGAACAAGCAGCCATCATCTGTGCTTCTGAACACTTTGTCCAGGCCACTTGTTTCTTCAAAGATACATGTTGGAATTTAACCACCAATGCATGAGATAATGACATTTAATTCCCCTGGCTGCTGATGGAAGTGTCCTTCTGAAACACGTAAGCCACATGTAAGCATACTCACTGAGCAATGGCACAAAATAAGAACTAGAAATGCACCCCTAGGTTGTGGGATGTCATTCACAGCACTCTGACCTGCATCTATCCGGGGTGATATCTCATCTCTGACAGCAGTCACTTCCACGTAACTGAGAGGAAGACACAAGGAAATAAATTGCATTAAGGAACAAGAATTAAATTGTATTAATTAATTGAATTTAATAAGAACAGAATTACATTAAAAAGACTGATGGATGAGGAAGTGCGCCCATGCTGTTCTAGAGCTCTTTCTGGTTCCTAGTGCTTAAGACACTGGTTCAAATGTTGAGGAAAGTAATTTGCTGCTGCTGACAAATTTTATGCTGGCATAAGATGTTGTAAAACTGCATTTTTTTTATAATCTAAAAATGTACTTCTTCACATGTTGCTAGTTTTATTTCCAACCCAGTGCCTTCCTGTAACAATTGATCCACAGGCTTGAGTACATGTTTTATAAGAATACATTTTGTAACTCAGCTTTCCGCCAAGTTTCACCTTTCAGTCTCACTGACTTGTTTGGCTTTTTGTGTTCTGAGATACAGAGAGAGGAGCCCATTCTCTGGTTATTTTAGCCCTTTCAGCTTGTCACTAATCATCTCTTTCACAAAACGGAGAATACCTCTGACATTCTGACAGTTCATCCAGGCATCGTCTTATTTTCATTCCTCTTTCCAGTTTCCCTCTGTGCATTGTGCACTGGAGACACCACAGCTGCACATACTGTTATACTCTAGGCCTGTACACTTATCCCTGTAACAGAGTTGGTGTATTCTCTGCATGCCTCTGGAAGGCACTTCTCGATCATCCAATCTCATTGTCACTGCAGACAGTCCCATTTTAGAATACCTGATACAAACTCCAGCTCCATTTGAAAGTTGTTTGATTTTGCTCTTACCACTCTGTTAGAGGGCCAGTCCAGTGTTTTCCTGCTCTGACCACAGAAACAAGTGTACACGCACTTGTTCTCACACTGACACTGGTCTCTACTATTGGCTTCCCGGGCGTCTCTTTCCCCAAGCCCCTCTTTCTTTATCTTGCAAAACTGGATGCACCATGTGTTCTTATCTTTGGTGGAAACAGGCTGCCCGGGCCCTATTCATTGCAGCGATTTTCGCCCCCACTTATTCTGCTTTACATTTATTCTTTCTTATGCCTGGGTGACAGAATCTGACCTCACATTTCAGATATTTTCTGAAATAACGAATCTGAAATAGCTGGATTTACATTTGCCTGTTCACACAGCTCCTACTCGCCTTGTGATTAACTAGTCTTTCTTTTCCAAGTGCTGATCTCATAGTTGGCGGAAGAAATTTTTGTGATTTATCTCTGCAAGCCATTAATATTATCAAATTTAATTATATTTTCATTAATCTAGTTCTAAGAGGCACCTAATTTCTCCAGCACATTATTCCCACCCTTGTTTGAAGTGGTGATGTCCCCCGGCTTTGCCAACGGTGGATTTTGTTAGCATATTCATGTTCTTGATGACATCGTTATAATGAAAATATGGAGGAAGAGAGGAGCCCTGATGAGTCCCAGAGAATAACTTTCCTCCAGTCTGCCTCATGCGCACAGCTTTTTGCCATTGCCTCCTCATCCTCTGTTCTTCTGTTTGAACAACCAGCTCCTTCTGGACAGTGTCAGGTATTATTAACCCCAAATGGATTAGATCTGCCACTTCTCAGAGAGGGAGACAAAGTTGTATCAAGGAAAGAGATCATTCAGAAATAACATTTCATTTTATCCCATTTATTCCCATACCTTTAATTATTCTTTCCTTCAAAATTTGTCCAAGTTACTGTAAAACTTTTCATTCCCTTTCTTTAATGTATATGTTCCATAATGATGTGAGAAGTATAGGAAGAGTTCTTGCTTCTCCCACTCTCATCTTCACACGCTTGGTCTGTTGGCACTCTGAAGACAGACTGATTTCCCCACTGCAGCAATTGCCCACGGCTTACTTCACATTACTCATCCTCCTTTTGCTCACAGCTCTCACACAATCTTCTTTATTAAAAATGGAGGCAAAACGCTCATTGGATTTGGAAATGCTGCCAGACTCCCCTTTTTATCTCTATGACCTTCTCCCTGCATAGCAAACCCATTTCTTCTTCCCTGGTCTTCCACATTTTCTCATCTCAAAGACAAGACTTTCTCAGATGAGGGATCTTCCCCACCATTAGCCCCAGAGTCTCTATTTCCCGTGACCTTAGCTACTAACATGTCAGATCTTCTGTGAAGCCCTTTCCTTTTGCATGAGATACAATGTCTGTACCATTTCTGCTGCTCTAGCATAAAGAAAACTGGCGTTTCTTTTTATTCCAGTCTTCAAACCCTCAGCCCTGAGGATTTTTTCAAATTCCATACCCTTTTTGCTTTTGGCATAGAGTGCCTTTTTATAGGCATAATTTTACCCACTCATTCATTCTAAACTGCATCTACTTGAAATCTATCAAGTGATTTTTTCTTTTCCTATGACCTTGGTGGCCTTTACAAATGGAACCCAGCATCACCTCTTCTTGTTCTGGTGCTGGCAGGGAGAGCGGTCCTTGTGCTGCATCCAGCACTGCATCCAGCCTTGCTTGCTATTCATAGCATCTGCGCTCACATTTATAGCTGGGAGAGCAGCAGCTACTGATGGAGCAGCAATCTGCTCCATTATATTCGAGAATTCTTTTTCCACATGCAAACATAACTTTGCAGCTCTGCACAAGCTCTGTGCAAATGCTTGCTTGCTGCAACTGTGACTGCTTTTGGCCAGGGCCAGCAGCACACCCCAGTTGTACCCAACTCTCTTCTCTTTCCCTGCTGAGATTTTGACCCAAACTTTGTTTCGATTTCTTCTTCTTCTGAAAATTAGAGCAGCTATGCGGTGAGGTCCGTCTTCCCTGGATGTGGATGGTGTCTCTAACACGATCCCTTTCTTCCCCCCCTGCAGGTGCTGCTCCCCCCTTGGGCAGCTCTAACACTGCATCCTGCCACTGACACCAGGTTTCAGGTGCTCAGAGCCCTCGTGCTCCACACGCCTATCCACCTCTCGTCTGCATTTTCCCTTCCTCGCCAATATTTTCTGATCTTTCTTAAGTCACTGTCACATCCATATTCGCGTTTTATTGATTTTTCTGCCCTGTTTCTCTGTGTCTCTCTGTGAACGAGAAGCACGTTGGTGGCAGGACGGAGCTCCTCAGCAGCACTTCATCAACTGCTGTTGGATGCTGAGGCTGCCCGACACCCAATTAGGGTCACAAATACCCGCTTCTGGCCTTCAGCATTCAACACGAGGCTGATCTCGGCCCTCATTTTTAAGCGCCTCCAGCAGCGAGTGCACAAACCCACCACCCTCCAGCCACCTCGGCCCCCACCTCGCCCCCCACCTCAGCACGGGGAGGGGATGGGGGCGTGGCCTGCAGACGCCATGCTCTCTGATTGGCTGTCGGAAAGGGGGCGGGGCTCGAAGCCGGCAGGGGCCGGGAAAAACGCGGCGGGAAGGGCAGCGGTGTTAGTGGGAGTGCGGGGCTGCGCGGGGCTGCGCGATGCGCCTGACGCAGAGCATGTGCACCATCGCGGAGTGCGCGCCCGGCGGTGAGGGCTGCCCCGCGGCTCGACCTCGCCTGGTTAAGATCGCCGTGGTGGGGGGCAGCGGAGTGGGCAAGACAGGTGAGGCGGATGGGAGGGAGGAAATCGGGGCCGGGGCGGCGGCGGAGCTCGGCTAACGCTATCCGTGCCTGTCCGCAGCGCTCGTGGTGCGGTTCCTGACGAGGCGCTTCATCGGCGACTACGAGCGGAACGCAGGTGGGCACCGCGGGCGGACGGGGCGGCCCCGGGGGCGGGGGGCGGCGGCTGGGGCGGATCGGAGCCCGTTGTCGGGGTCCCTCCGCCGGCGGTGAGCGCTGGGTGGGTGAGCCACGCAAGCAGCTGTGCTGGTGCTTCGTTCTGCCTTGCTCTGCCAGATGTGCTTTATCTGGTGAAAATGCCCCTCTCTGGAGCAGTTTTGTTTTTTTTTTTTAATCTAAAACAACCATGCAGTGTAATGTAAACCCAATGTTTGCTCGATGCTTGCAACCAAGCGATCGGGGCGGCCCCGGCTTCCGGGCTACATGGGGCGATGCTCAGCGCCGAGCGCGGGGCGGCGAGAGGTGTGAGCGGCTGAGCTGCCGGAGTGCGGCGATCTGCTGCGGGAACGGCCCGGGGAACAAGCGGCCACCAAAGCCACCCAGCCTCTGGGATCGGCCAGCGGAGCCACAATGAATAACCCCGCAGAGGAATGGCTTCTGAGGGACAGAAATCTGGCCAGCATACTGCCCTTCTGTACCAAGGAATGGCTGCTGTGCACAGTAAAGTTACGGCAGTCCTTCAGAAGCGACAGAGCTGCGAGCTGTGTGGTGCTAAATCCTAGAATCCTATAATCCTAGAATGGCCTGGGTTGAAAAGGACTACAATGATCATCTCGTTTCAACCCCCCCTGCTATGTGTAGGGTCGCCCAACCACCAGACCAGGCTGCCCAGAGGAAATGCCAGGTTTCAGGGCAAGTCAGGGCCAGGTTAAATCCCAAGCTTGTTAAATTCCAGTACTGGCATAAGTAGTCATAAATCCCAGGCTTCCAGTAACATTATTACAAACCAAATAAAGGCTCTTAACACTCGACCCAAATGACTAATGGGGTAGCAAAAGCAGAGCAATCTGTCTGAGAAGTGTGTGTGTGAACCTGTTGCTGTTCTGCCAGGTAACCTCTACAGCCGGCACATCCAGATCGACGGGGAGGTGCTGGCCATCCAAGTGCAGGACACCCCGGGTGTGCAGGTGAGTCAGACACATCCACGCAGATTATCAAAGCAGCCTGGAGTTGGTGTGCGTGTCTGTCCACTGCAGCATCTTGTTCCGCTCTTCCTAGTGACATTCTGCTGCCTGTTTCAGTGCAGAGCTCTGGGTGGGGGAGCTGGCAAACTGTGCCTTAGCCACAGCTGCCAAGCCAGATGGGTTGGGTGCCTGAAGTTTGCTGGCAGTAAAAAGAAACGGCTCACTGTTTTGGGTGAATCGTTTGTACGCTGGAGGCTCGTTGCTTTGGAATTGCTGAATTACTGAAGTGTCTTGTTCCCATATATTAGAAGGAAAAAAAACCTACTCACTTTGTGCAAATATGGTACACATGTGGAAGAAAATGTCATGGCTACTGCCCAACAAAACTCATACGTTTATATAATAAAAAGTGAAGTCTACTGTATTGGAGCTGTGCTCATTAAGATATTACATTTTGAAGTTCTGAATGTATAGACCTGAGCAGAGCTGGATTTTTGCCTTTTTGAACTGGGCAACACTCCAGGTCTAAATGTTTCCAGCTCATATCTTTGCTTCCCCAGACTTGCTGTCTAGCCAGTTAATTTCCCATTCTGTGGAACTACAAAGTCTTTCTCTGCATGCAGAACGACTCAGGTCAATTTTCTTTTCAAGTATAGCAAACTCCAGTGTTACATTCCATATTTTTTTTTTTTTGCAGCTGAATCAACATATGTATTTATTTGACACGCTCAGATTAAGTTTTGTACTTACAATGTGAAATGCAGATACATACGTCTGAAGCTATAAAATGCTATTTAGATTTAAAGGAGCCTTTTAAAAGTCTTTTATGAGCTCAACCATCTAATTTGAGACCATTCACTCTACAGATCCATGAACACAGCCTGGATTGTAATGAGCAGCTGAACAGATGCATTCGCTGGGCAGACGCCCTGGTGATTGTCTTTTCCATCACAGACTATAAGAGCTATGAACTACTCAGTCACCTGTACCACCACGTTCGGCAGATGCATCCAGGGAATGCTGTCCCTGTTGTCATCGTAGCAAACAAAGCTGATCTCTTGCATATTAAAGAGGTGGAGCCTCAGCATGGACTTCAGCTGGCCAACATGCTGGGCTGTGCTTTCTATGAAGTGTCTGTCAGTGAAAACTACAACGATGTCTTCAACGCCTTCCATGTCCTCTGCAAAGAAGTCAGCAAACAACAGACCACCAACAGCACCCCCGAGAGACGGAGAACTTCTCTCATTCCACGGCCCAAATCACCCAACATGCAGGATCTGAAGAGGAGGTTTAAGCAAGCTCTGTCTGCCAAAGTGAGGACTGTCACGTCTGTCTGACAGCAGGGCCAAGAAGAGGCGTTGTTCTCAATGTTTCTCCCAAGTTTGAAACCCGGGGTGTCTAACACTGGCACGTCTGCAGTCTGATGTTGTGGCAGGATGGTTCAGGCAGCGTTCTGCATGGCTGTAGAAATGAGAAGTTGCTTGAACAATGAACAGTGGCAGATGGGAAAAGAATAAAAACAAACAAAAAAAAATCCCCACAAAAATAGTCTTGAAATGGCTCTAGGAAGTAACTTGTAGAACAAGTATTTTCACTTGGAAATGGACCTTTCCAATAAATGCCTTCTTCTTTGATGGGACAGATCTGGCTTAATGTTTGTGCAGAGACAACCTTTTAGCTGTGACTCTCAACTTGTACTTGAGCAGGGAAACACCCCGAACTGTAGTTCACTGTTCAGAAGTAACCACTCCAGTTTTACAACACTTTACTTGGATGAAGGACAGCATGTTATATCTGTTCAATTTATTGCACAGTAGAGCTGTTTATTTCACTCGTATTTCAAAACAAACGAGAACACATGCAACTATTCTGTAAAAATAAGTGTGAAGTCAGTGGACATGACTGGGTATCATGACTGTACACAATGGTCCTTTACTTTTTTACTGGCTATGTTATTGCTGACAACTTGACCAGACTCTTTGTATGCAAAACTATTGTGCATAGGATGTAAACATATGTAATTACAAATATCTGGTGGGTCTTTTTTACTGTCTGAAAAAAACAGTGTTGAGACTGAATGATCTAACACAGAGCTTTCTAGGAATAAGCCTGGAGTTGGAGTGATAGTCCATTACAGCTACCAGTGTGAGACACTTTTCTCCTCTTTCTTTCTTTCTTTCCCTGGAGTATAATAGGCAAAGAAAGAACCAGTGATTGAGCTCGATGTGAAGCATGGCTGCCCTCAAGGCAATGAAGCTGGCTGTTTGTTCAGAGCTGAGCCGGTCCCTGTTCGTCCTTAAACACATGTGGCTGACTTAAGCATTTCTTCTTATTTTATTTTTTTTCTACGTTGAGCCAATGGAGTTCACAGGCTAAAGGCCTTACACACATGCACTTTAAAAAGCCAGTTGTGCTTTTATTTGAACTGTAATTTATTTATTTTATGTACAGTTACTTTCAGCATTAAATTTTGAATTGCGTATTTTCTCATGTGTTTTTCCTGTGTATAAGAAACAATTGCTAATAGCCAGCAAAGCCTGCAGACAAAGTAATTACAGAAACTGCAAGAAGGTCTTTGCTGCCTATGCTGTTGATTTATTAGCATAATCTGCGGGGGGAAAGCTCTCATAACCTCTTTCCAACTTTTACAAAGTGGCTTCAGAAGACCTACTGAAAATTAGAATTGGATTCTTCATACTCCCTTGTCAGAAAACTCCAGCGAGGAGAGAATGAGGTAAGGTAGGTCAGTGTTTGGCAGAACAATGTTTTAAGGGGCTTTTGGTCTCTTTAAAAAAATATGCACAACAGCTTTATACAGACTGGTATGGCAACGAAGAATTGAATCAAATTACTACAAGCCTTGAACTTGATTTGTTCACATTTAAAGGGATTTTAGGCTGGGCGTTCCTGAGGGGGGTGTTCATGCTAGACCTAGAGTGGCTGCCATGCATGTTCTCCCCTGATTAGCACACAGCTCTAATGGTGGAAATACTGGTCATGCTGATGGTAATCTTTGATGTGAGCTACCACTCTCACCTGACCAAGTAACTCAGGACTAGAATTCAAACACAACAGCCCCGCCAGTCTGAGCTTACACTCAAATGCTGTTTCACTGATTCCTGTGCCATCTCCATGTGCCAACAGTGACCTTTTGTTGTCCCTACCCCACAGCTGGTGAGCACAGCTCTGCGTCACATGCAGAGGGCTTTAGCACTCCTCGCTGTGGTCCAGCACTCTGCACCCTCCCAAGCAGTCCTGTGTGGCTCCTGCTCACATACAGCTGGCAGGAGACTGTTTACTGCCCAGGTCTTTTCTCCAGCATATGCTACATGTAGCTATGACAACTATTTTCTACAAATAAGAGATAATTATTACACCAGGGCCACTGGAAAGACCCCAATCCAGTCTTGGTCTAGGAGAGGAGTGGGCTTTTTGTGACTGTCTGCTTTCATCTCTTCAGCCACTGAGTACCAGATGGTGGCAGGATCCCAGCATTCATGATCACAGCTGTGGTCTCACTGGCTGGAAAGATCCCACCAAAGGGGAGCCTGGAAAACCAATCACTGCCTCAGCCAGAGAAGCTGCTTCAGACGTGCAGAAGAACCAGTGTCTGCTTAAACCCCTCTCAATACCCTGCAGAGTATGTCTTCAGACGGCCAGGTCAGAGACCTGACTCTTGAAAGAAAGTGGAAGAGAGAAGGCCACAACTGCAGGCCTCCATCACCTCAGGAACGCAGCAGCAGCTCAGAGATATGAGTGCCTGAACCTTCTTGGGGCTGCAGAGGTCAGCAATGGTTGCAAGAGGTAGAAGAGCCTTTCTGCCACCAACAGAGCATGGAAACCCCTTGAGGACATCTCCAAGAGAGAAGGTTTTGGTTCTTAGGGGTAATCAAATACTGCAAAAAAGAGGGGCTGGAATATGCAGTCCTGGTATGCATAGCCCTGTGTCCTAAGAGGGAAAGAGATGAGGACTGAGCATTGTAAAAGTATTGCTTTATTGATTACATAATTCACAAAACATCTATATTCTAAGATTAAATGATATAGAAAGAAGAGGAAATGCAGAGAAAGGCTATTTGCTCTCAAGCTGTTCTGCCCAAAATACTTCTTGAGCTTTTAACATTGCAATCTCATAATATTTCTCATTTTTTACAGCACAAAGTTCCATTCTAAAGTCATTCTTATAAATTGTTCTTTCATAGAGGCAACATTGTCCATGCTTTATAGTTGGTCCTTTGTTTCCTTCTAGCCACTCAAAAGTGAATTTAAACAAAAATGCAGCCTTTTCTGGAGACCATTATAAACATTTAAGAGAACTTAAGCAGGCTACTAAACAAAGGTTAAAGAGCTACTTCCTATTTAAGCTATTCCTTTGACAGCAGAAAGAATGCTATGTTCAAGCAAACTTCATATATCATTTGACATTCTCATTCTTAGTGTGAGTTGTAGTCTTAGCCTTTCTTGGATGATCCAAGAGGATGCAGCTTCAGAGCTCCACCATTTTATGTTGTAATTTGGAACATTCTGTGCTACGCACAATCACAATCTCTGTTGGCTAATGTTGTTTTATCTAAGATCATATCAATTTGTTATAAAGAAAAATTACAGAACTGAATGTGATAGCAGCTCTTTCATTACCATAAATGAAACATAAAAGCTGCTCTCTTATCATGCTGTTCAGAAATCTAGCTCAAAAAAGAACCTGTCACAGTGGCCTCTTGAAAATGGGAACATGCTTTTTTTTCCCCTCTTTTTTAAAATGCATGTGAGGGGAGGATTCTTCCTGGGTTACCATCACCCCATCACAGCCCATATGTCCTCCTTGTGTTAAACTGCAGAGAAGTGTGCCATCAGAAACAGCCTTTTCTCCTGGGATTGTGGGTGGAGAAACTAGAGCAGGAAATGGAAACCTGTGAGAGAAACAACCACGTAACTCAGCCCTCCATCCTGCTGCTCTACTGTGGCTGGGAGAGCATCACTGCACTAGGAGCCACTCTGCCAGCTGAACTGGGTGTAATGAGCAGAGGCTGTTAATACTGTATAAGGCACACATGTTTTGCAAGATGACATGGCAGAGAGATGGATTTTGCTGCCCTTTTCCTCCCTCAGCAGCATTTCCCAACAGAATCAACCCCAGAAAAACTTTCTGGCATTACTTGCAGGGGAAAGTGCTGCTGAGGGAGTGCACATTCAGCCTGCCTGGTCCTCACTTGCTTCTTTTCTAGGGAGTCATTACAGGCAATCACCCTTGTGGGTGCTGAGTGGAGAGGGTGATTTAGCACCACGCTGTGTGACCCTTAAGGAGAGGGTGGTACCGGACAAATGGACCAGCTTTAGGAGCCCCCTGTGAGCTGCACAGTTCTCTTGCAGTGAGGTACTCGGCTGCACAGTAGGGGACATGCTGCTTTTCAGAGGGCTGTTGGGAACAGTGACAAACCAGGGACTTGATGCTTCCAGCCAAGGCACCCATCTATCTTCTCCACAGATTCTCCCATGTCAGATATCAGGATCAGGTTGGGGGTGATCAGCTGCAAAGAACTGCTCAATAGCACCCTGTGGGGTCAGGAGTGCTGAGGAGAGGACAATTACCTGTAAGAAGGGGGGAAAGAAGCAAGAAGTCAAAATTAAGGGGATCAAGACTGACTGCATCATTAATGAGCTGTGAAATGGACTGTTCCCTTATCCAGCACAAGACACACTGTGTGTTTCTGGTGTTTACTGACAGGGCCATGCGACCTGCCCAGCGAAACTGTCTGCTCACTAATAACTGCAATTAAATCACTTAAGGAACATAATGACTGGTAGCACTGTATTCCTAATGAACGTGTGCTTTGATTCACTTCTACCCACATGTACCCAGTGATTTGTTGTGACTGCCATTGTGTTTGCTGTGAGGCACCAAAGGAGCAGCCAGCAGCTTCCTTTCCTATAGCACAGGGTTTTGCCAGCAGCAGGCAGTTTTGAATGACTGCCATTCACCCTTGTTTAAGGTGGAACAAGAGTTACAGAAGTGCTGCTGGTCTGCTGTGGCTACTGGGGGAACTACAGCCCATGCTCAGGAGTGTCCCTGTGGGCAAGACAAGTGCTCTTCTGCACATCAAGACCATGCTCAACCTCAGACACTGTTGGGATGCTGTTGCTTTTGTTTGGTCAGGTTTTTAACCCAAGCTGGGTCTTATGAATGAAACTGACACTCGCTACACCAGTACACACACTGGTAAATGCACACCTTATCCATTTCTCTTGAGTGAAAAACAGTATGCAGGTGTCTATTTGGAAGGCTTCTCTGCAGGGCAAAGCTATCAAGCAAGGAAGGGAGCACATCCTCTCCTGGATCCAACTCACGCTGAAAGTCATAGGGAATGAGAAGTGTATATAGTGTAATATCACAGGGGATTTGGAAGAAAGAATTAGAAGATAAGAAAAGTACTACATTTAAACTTTTGTTCGTTTGTTTTGTTCTTTTTTTCATTTTCTCACTTCAAGTAATGAAAGGAATCTGGAGTTCCGTTACTACAGATTCCATCTGTACTGATGATAGCCTCTCCCTCACTTCTTCCCTTCACTTATCCTCCCACACAACCTGCAGCAAACTGATGCTGATTATCTCTTTTCCTTCCCATGGCTGAAAAATTGTAGTTTGTGGATGGCAAAAGTTGATGCTGTCTTACTTATTTTATGCATGAACCAGTGCATAGCACGGTATGTGCACATCTTGTTATAATGCAATTTAATTCTGAAAAGCACAAGTGGACTTAAGTTTTTTTGTGTCTACAAGCCAAACATCAACAATAGCCATGTTCAGTTAAAAGCAATTTCCTCTTGGGTCCCAATTGCTCAGAGAAGGAATTTCTCTATCTTCTCTGGGTAGGTCTGAGCAGAACAGTGTGCTTTCCTCGTGTACCTTCCCCTCATTTGGAACAGCATGCCTGTCCTTGATGCTTTACATGAAGAGATATACCTGCCAGCTGATGCACAGGACCCAGGAACTCATAGCCTGACCTTCTGCACTGCAATATGCCTTTCCCATACACAGGGGAAGGAAGGATGCAGCAAGCATCTGATGGTGCATCTGCAGGGATTGATCTGTCCATGTGCCTCAGCCACAAGCACACATGCTATGCATGTGGGGAAGAAGGAGGGCAAAACATCACACTCTTTCCCCTTTTTCTCTCTCTTGATTAAAGGGGAAAGAAATTTATTTCTTCCTTTCAAAGTAGGATACTTCTCACTAGCTTAGGAAGGGTATTTGGCATCATTCACAAACAAATGATGCACAAAAAATGCTATTTTCTTTTGTGCTTCTCCATGAGAAGTAGATTTGCTATTCATATTCCTATGCAGAGCAGTTCTCTGGATGGAAACATGTCTCCTACTGCGTATTTAAATGTAATTTGCTTCAACTCCAAAGAACTGCTGAAGTAATCAGAGCATTGTGCCAGTTTTTCTGTTACTTTACTCAGTTCTTTATTTTTGCACCCACGTCTCTCCATTTCTCCAAAAGCCAATAATTAGTATAAATGTCAGTGCTTTGTTTGAATGGAACAGACTTGTGAGGCCAGTGCTTCCCCCTTGCCCTGATGTCTGAGGCTGATTGCCTGAAACCCACAAAAAAAAAAAAAAGTCTGTTAAGTGCTGGCTCGAGTTAGACAAATGCCTGGCTTTTTAAAAT